TAAATGTCTCACTTCATTTTTCTTCAAATTGCATAAACCAATAAAAATGCAAATCAGAGCAGAGACCCTTTATTTAAGCCTTTAGTCACTGTTTTTCATCCTTAATAACTGTTTGGTTTGCCACTTAAGTGTCATGTCTCTGCTAGTGCATCGGTGACAGATGAGAAATGACTCAATCCCTCTAAGATTTTTTTAAATGTTACTTTTCTAATGATCCTTTAGGGCACTATACCTTTCACACATACATTATGACTTAGGTTTTCCTGGGTGTTGGGGTAAGTTGGTTGGGTTTGTTTTGGTTTTATAGTGGAGCTTTACCCCTTGACCTGGAGAAAAAATGCTATTAAAACATGAGGGGAGAAGAAACACATGAACAAATGTCACATTAAAATAAACAACAATAGCAACAATGGGTCAAATGACTATATGTAAGTTTGAAAGGGGATGCTTTTAGAGGACAAACCCACAGTTGGCACCTTTTAATTTGTTTTTGTTTTAGGAGCCAAAACGTTCACAGGTAAATGCTCTGATGAACTGACAGACCGCTATCTGCCTAAAAGTCAGACTAGCTGGGGACCATATAGCGCAGCATTTAGCATGTATAGAGCCAGATATTATCTTAACGACTTCATGAAGAACTTAAACAGAGCTAAAAAGCAGAGATAAAATGTGACTTATGCCATCAGGTGGGTATAAACATTACAAAAAATAAAATGCTACTATTGCTCCAAATCTGCTGTTTTTCAAAAAGGCAACTGTTAAAATCAACTTTGTAAAGCTGTTCACACTTTTTTATGACTTCTCTGTGGACTAAAAATACCTTGCAAGGAAATCAGCGTGGCACCAACATTTCATCTTAACTCATGAAAGCACGGGCCCCATTGACAAACACAGCATGCACACCACTACTGACAACTTAACAGCAAAGAAAGAAAGTTACGTTGGTTTTATCAAAAGTATAAATCCTATTTTTCTTGAGTTTATCTATGTAAATACTAATGAGTGCACCTAATGGAGCAAGGGATATGGGGAAGTAATTAAGACCATCTTTAACACTTGAGAATACATTCTCATCTCTAATGTTAAACAAATACAAATTATAGCTTTAAAAAGGCGCTCTGTGAAGGGCTTTCATTGACAGTGAAGAGTAGCCTTGAGAGGAGCCAGGAAGTGCGTTTATTTTTTTAAACGGGATGTGGGTAGTATTTCTGGTTTCAAACTGTTAGCTGTACGATTAAATAGAGCTCATTTGGGTGTCAAAGCTAAAGCCAACTCATAAATCCTCTGCCTATCTTCAATTCATTATCAGGAGAGCAGCAGCAAAAAGTGTCTCTTGATAACTTTGCAGGCGGGACTGCTGGCTCTGTGGTTTCTGGCTCCAGGGAAGAGCCATAAATGTTGGTAGATAATGACTTGACATATGCAAAATCATACCAGTGACATATTAGAATGGTCTGAATGTTTACCCTTTAAGCTCATATAGGGCTGATGGGTTGACACATTGATCATTGTTTTCAAGGCAAAGAGAACAACTTGAAACCTTTTTCAAGACCAGCACATCCACTGTGGTCAGTGTGTCATTCTCGTTATCAAAAGAAAAACTATTTTCTTGGTATAGATTTTAAAACTCAAATGCCATACTGTAAATAAACTGAAGAGATCTCTAGCCTATGTCACTTTGGACAAACCAAGTAAAACAGTATAAAGTCAGGTAAAGGGAGGGAGGCTGTGGCTCAGTGGATAGTGTGCTGGACTTCGAATCAGGGGGTAGCAAGTTCAAGTCCCACTGCAGTCAGCATGTCGTTGTGTCCCTGGGCAAGACACTTCACCCCAAATTGCTCCTGTGGGGATTGTCCACAGTACTGAATGTATGTAAGTCGCTTTGGATAAAAGCGTCTAACAAATGACATGTAATGTAATGTAAAGGGGAGATTTGCCCTGACTGGAGTTGGAGAGTAGGACAAAATCTAGTGAGATTTTAAAAAATAAAATAAGAACCCTCCTCCACAGAGTGAAATCAATGAAAGATGGTGAAGATTAATTCCTGTTTAACACATCCCACATGAGAGAGGGGCCCTGACAACATTTCTGCATACTTGACTTCAGTTGGGGGAAATTCAAGATTCAAAGGTTTATTGTCATAACGTATACAAAACTACGGTGTAATTATGTAATGTATTAAAAACTTAGATCGCCGGTCACTCAACAGTGCAAAATGGACTGGGAGTCAGGGGACAACGAGAGAGACATACCAGCACGAGGCTCCACCTGAGCCCCTTCCTCCACACACACACACACACACACACACACACACACACACACACACACACACACACACCAAACACACACACACACACACACACACACACACACACACACACACACACCACACACCACCACACCACAAACACACACACACACACACACACACATCACAACCACACACACACACACACACACACACACACACACACACACACATCACACACACACACACACACACACACACACACCACACACACACACACACACACACACACACACACACACACACACACACACACACACACACACACACACACACACACACACACACACACACACACACACACACACACACACACACACACACACCCACACACACACACACACACACACACACACCTTCCCAGGCTGGTGTGTGGTGTCCTCCCCCTCGCTCAGCCTCGTGAGCCCTGCCCCCAGTGCCTGACCCAGTCACCAGCATCCCATGCTAACCTCTGTCCCATTTTTTTCCCTGTCAGCAAACATCATGCATCACTGTCACCCTCCTCCTCCTCGTATCCATCCCACCATTCGCTCAGCGAAGAAGACCCCTCACAAGTCCAGGCAGCTCACCCACACACACCCCTCCCCAGTTTATGTTCCCCTCAGCTCCTTGTGAGCAGGTTGGAGACGTGTGTCGGCCTGCACGTGTGCAGAGAATCGGCCAGAGAGTTGACTGTAAATCTGTCAGTAGAGGGTTGCCATGGAACGAAAAGGGTCCTCTCATCGCCACACCCCTCCACACGGGCGCAGACAGACATTCAGCCCTGGAGCTGAGACGTTTAGCCGTTTAAAACATTAAGTCGATCAACAGAAAAGGAATGGCTTATAATTTTGATAATCAATTCAGTGTTTAATCCAATAACTAGCAGCAGCTGGTTAGATCTTCGCTCAAGAGTTGACAAATAAAAGCATTTATTGAAAGAAGAAAGAACAGTAAGACAAAACCTAGTATTGCGTGACAAAATGTTGTAATAATGAAGACAGCAGTCAAATAAAAAGAGTATGCAAGAGAGAAAATAAATCTGGGGGTAGATTGTTCTTGCATTGGTGAATTTGGTTCAGTACCAATTTGGGTTGGGGTTGTAAACCTTTTGGAAGAAAATAGAAAAGTGAATGTGGTTATTTTGGGTTGAGTGTCATTTTTTGGAAAGATGGTCCTTGAGATTAATCAATCAAAAACTCAGACAATTTTCTAATCCCTCCTTCAATACGAATATTTATTATCAGATTAAATGGGTAGTTGTGATCACATACATTTGTTCAGTTTTATATTTAGATACATTTTACATCACAGCTGAACACTAGTAAAAATAAACATGACTTGCTGCTTTCTTTGATTGATATCACAGTAAACAAAATAACGTTTTAGACTGTTGCTAAGAAAAAACAGGACCACGTGCATGGATAGTGCATTGATAAAACCATAAATTAAAATAAAACAATCAACAAATAAAGACTCATTGGTAATAATAAAACAAAATCCTTGGCTGCAGCTACAAAGCAAACAGATTTAAATGTAGACACTAACCTCAACCTCACATCCCTCACCTGTCCACACACTGACACACAAAACCATCTGCATCACTTCCATTCAACTACTGTTTACACACTGAAGAGCAGACTGCTATTATCCAGTGCGAGCAGGTATTGTAGTAGGGCTCTTGTGTCATATTCAAGGACATGGTGCTTTCCATGCACACACACACAAACACGCGCACACAGGCTGGCTGTTTCAGGGATCAAACCGTGGACCTTCAGGGTTACAGTACATGTAAATGCACATGTCCACGATGCTGCCCCCTGCAGAACTACAGTGAGACACATTATCAAGGATGAAGCAGATGACAGGATGGTGTGTATGAAGGAGACTTAAGAGCGAATAACAGGAGCACAGCGACCATTCACTCTTTAACCTCACACATTTATAGGCAATGCGTGCCCCATTCAGTGCATCGACGTGCACACTGGAGACATACAGTAGAGTCGTTTCACTTTTTATCGCTCAGCAGTCAGGACCCGGGCAGGCTGACTGACAGACTGACAGTCAGCATCGGCAGCCTTTTCCCGGATGGCATGTTTCAAACCACAAAAATACGCCAGTGACCTCTTTATGATGCATATGACACACACAGTAGAATATGTCTGCATGCACTTGATCAACAAACATATCGGTGCAAATGTCCTCATGTTGCGACAGCGTCAGGCTCAGCTGTTGTACAGTTTCCTACCCACTATCGCGGACAGGCTGCGATAGAAATAGTTAACTATCACCAGGTCTGTGTGCGGTTAAGCGTAAGGGTACGAGTGTTTAAGTCTGTGTGCTCTCCCCCAAAACTTCCCGATGCTCTGTATCTTTCTGGAAACACTTCAAGTTTGTGCGTAAAACTGGCCAGCTTTGCGTGATCAAGTTAAGTTCATAAAAAATCTGACCAGTTTTGCAGCATAAACCCGAGAAACAAACATGACACCTAGCTAGCACTTCATCATCGCCATGAAACAGGTTAGTAAATCTTCGCTGTCATGAACCAAATGACCATGCACTGTGCCCTCCGTGCCGTATCGATGCCAATATTGTGTGTGCACTGACGCTGGGAGCAGAAGCCAGTACATTTCCGTCCTCTATCGAAATGCAAACCAAATGCAAAGTCCCGGTGAATTAGCTGAATGATAGCAAACACGCTGCACGAGCTTACCTTGTGGACGTATCGCTCTACCGGGTCGATAATTTCTTCTTTACACCATTAACTCTCCGCCATCTTCGGCACTGTTTGTTTAAATGGGAAACACTCCCGAAGCCCAAGAAGCCAGTTCTGTAAGTTGAGGTGTCGAGGTGGATTCTGGGTAAAGTAGTTCGTTCCAGTGGAGCGCCGTGCTTCCGGCTGCTTCGTCCAACCCGGAAACGGACTACAGGCGGGCTCCACCACCACAGGGGGCGGAGGTGGTGAAGGTAGGTGGAGGTGGGGAAACAGGCTGTCTAGCAGCCTACAGACGGATGTCAGCGGCGATAGCGGAGCGGAGAGAGATGACACGGTGTGTATTTTCTGTCAAATGAACAGCAAACATAAAACTGTTTTCTTCACGGCAGACTTTGCACACAAAAAAGAGCAAAACATGTTAGGCTGGCAGGGGGAGACAGAAGTAGTAGAAGAGACAGCCTTGAAAAAACTTAAGAGGAAATTAGGACGCGAAGGTTTTATCCTTATCTAATGATAACGATGAGTTGGTCCACTTGGATAAATAAAAGTCTTGTTAATGCGCCAGCAGGATTAGTTCCAAGACTTTAAAGGAAAATACCAGCAGTCCAATTCACTATTTATATATATATATATATATATATAAATCTTACACTTTAAAGCTGCAATTAAACAGTTATTATCGTTACAGATGAATCTGCCTAATGTATGGATTCATTTATCTATAGTTTTGGTCTATAAAATATCAAGTCCAAGTAACCCACAAATATTCAGGTTAATATGATATAAAACAGAGGCAGGAAACCTCAATATTTGAGAGGCTGAAAAAAGCATTTTTGTTTGAAAAAATATTTATTTTAATGTTATGGATTATGCAGATGATGTGGACGTGTGAGCAATGCTATGTCAACAGTCATATTTTGGTCTTCAGCTGATTCACTTAATAACAGAAATCCCAATAAAAATAACAATAACCAGTTAATATGACACATGTGAATACAATTACAAATACATCTTAATTGTAGCACTATAGTCAAAGAAATTGGGGGACATTTTATAATATTATGTTCATCATTTTTCTGTCAGGTTTTCCATCTTCATGAATGCTAAAATGTCCCTTTACATCCTACAGCCCTTTTTTCACAGTAGCCAGCTTTGTGTGAACTGGTTTGTTTGACTGGAGGGACTGTGGCTCTTCAGCCCGCCTATCTCTTATAGATGAGGCCCATATGTGGGCTCCATATGTGAGCTGGCAGGGTCAGCGTGGAGCAGTGACGTCTGCGCCGGGTGGCCTATGAACTGGGACACGTCGGCACAGCGCCCCGACTGCTGCCAAGACATCCAAACCAAAAATCCGTCTCTATGGTGATGGGTGGCGGACAGGAGCACAGATAGATACACACACACACACACACACACACACACACACACACACACACACACACACACACACACACACACACACACACACACACACACACACACACACACACACACACACACACACACACACACACACACACACACACACACACACACACACACACACACACACACACACTCCTGTTGTGTCAATGACAGTGGGAATGAAAGAAGATGAGAACAGGAAGGTGAGAGAGAAGTGAGACAAGATGATGAGATAGTCGAGTTTAGTTTAAGGCAGTTTCAGACGACGCAGAGACAAGATCACAGATAATGATAAATGGTGCCTATTGCCTGAAGAGAAGGGTAGCTGGAAAAACCCATACGTGTTAAAGAAACATAAAGTATGAAAAGGAGAGAGAAGAAACAAGTGTGGAGTTGTCAGTGTGATGAAGGAGAGGAAGTGTTGTAGCTTAAAGGAACATGGAGGGAGTGAAAATAAGGTAAAACTTTAACAGTTTGACATGGAAAGACATGGAGGGAGGTGTACAAGACGGGGAAGAATGTAAGAGACTACGGAGAGTACGAAGATGTTGAAATAGGGTTTGCAGAGAAGGCTTATAGCAATTAGCCTCATGGGTCAAAGATAATTCATCAGGCAAAACTAAGAAGAAAATGTGATTAGAATATTACTCAGAGAGAAATGTTAATGCTCTTGGAAAGCAAAGATCTCAATAGTAAGATCCTTAAAATTAAAGTAACTAATATTTCTGAGAAAAGACAGGTTGTGTGAAATAACATTACTTGAAAAGTGTTTTCACAATGTAAAACTTTTGTGCATGTCATACGCTAAGAAGACAGCTGCTCATTTTCACAAAAACATCAGATCAAGCCTGTGCACTTTGATTCTGTAATACATTGACACACTGAGGAACATACAAGAGAATTGTTCAGCAAAGAAACATAATGGAAAATGGAAACATTTACAAAATAAATATGAAAAAATATTAGAAATATGTACATTGTAATCTATGTAATGCAGGAATTAACACATTTTGACAGAGGAATGTGCATAAGACTACAGTATAGAGGATCGTATAATTGAAAAGTACAAGGACTGTATGAAAGTTGGGTGATTACTTGCTCAATGTGAATGCCTGAGGCTAAAGTGACACGTTTTGTTTGTAGCCTTTATTTAACCAGGTTAAAAAATCCCATTGAGATCTCTTTTTTCAAGGGAGACCTGCGGTAAAACGCGCCGACTCCATAGCGAAAGCCTTCTCTAACTCAGACTGCAACATGCTGCACAGTGTCATGTTATGGTTCAGTTATAGGCAGCATGACTAACCACACTATAAAAGGTCTTTGTCTTTATGTAAGTATAGGTTTCCTTCAACATTAGCTGCAATTTTCTATACCGATAATTTATTTTGTTATTTATCTATACATTGGCTTAATTGGCTTCTAAACCTTGGAAAAAATACTATTTTATACTATTATACTAATAACTATTTGTTGGTTTAAAGCATAAACCACCGGCATGCTCCTGTAACATCAGTTATTCTTTGGTTATTGTTATTATACTTACAACATACTATCTGACAAATAATTCCTTCAGGCCTTTGCTTACAAATAATAGCAGCTGAATATATTGTTTTGAAATATTAACAGCTTTTAAGAATATCTGCAAGCATTTTTCTTAAATGGCTTTGCAGCGATTGCATTTTGGAGTGAAACCCTTTTAAGTCGAACAGTGGAGAATTGTTTTGATATACCCAGCTAGCTTTAGGTTGCAGTTCCACTCTATTTAAATCCACATTATTATGGTACTTATTGTCCATTATTTGGAAAATTCCATAGTGTGGCCTGAGGCTAAAAGAAAAGAGGAAATGGCAGAAAATTAAATGTAATGTGAAGAAACACAGGCACGCACACACAAATCCTACAGAGTCACCTAACCAGCATCAAACTCACTTCACAATTGTACTTGACCGTAATGCTTAAAGATACACTAAAGCACTCTTACTGCCTAATATCAATCTGTTATGGTTGTTAATAGTGTGGCCAGAAGATGATCTGGTTTTATTTACCAGCATGCAATTTATTGTTGAGACAGAATTTAGGGGACTGCAGAGAGAGTTGTGGGAAGGTGAGAGGAAGAGGGAAGCTTCTTAAAATTCCAAACAGGTAGGAACGAGGCTTCAGGAGGGTAGTGAAACAGCACACACACATACACATGCACGCACACACATGCACACAGATTTGAGACATGGGGAGAGAAAGGAGGCAACCCATATGCAGAAAATGCCATTACATATTGATGTAGAGCTGAGAGGATCAGTTGATAAAATAATTTCAGAGAATTAAACAAAGATCATTAATCGAAATAAAAACATACTGCAATATTCCCAAATATTCTCTAGTGCCAGCTTTGTCTTAAAATAACTAGATAAGTGAATAATTGAAACATTTGTTAGTTGCATCCCTATCTGTGTGTACCGTATATGTGAATGTACACACTATGAATAATGAACCAGGTGGATACATGTACTGTACACTTGAATGCTTCCATATGATATATTTTCTTAATACTAGTTCCCACCATCAGCAGCACATTTTGGGTCTGAAGCTGGGGTGAGGAAGAGGTGACCTTGAACATACACACTTCCATGTTGGCTCATTAGCATTCGCATGGATATATAATGTATACAATTTTACCCAAAAGGGAAGATATTTAGACGGATTGAGGAAAAAGGAGGAAAGCTAAAACTGGAGCTGAGGGAAACAATTAGTTTTTCATACTTATATGAATCCACCATATGCTTCTTCCTTATTTAGCTAGTACCTTCTGCCTCCATTTCTGTTTGTGAAACCTACCTCACCATCATCCAATGCAAAATCAATACAACATGATTGAACAGATAAAGCAAAAACGGGAGCAGTTGTAGAATCACTGAGTGGAAAGCCCGAAGGGACGATAAAGTTGCTGTTTGGGAAAACAAAACCCTCAAAAAGGTGGTGGAGGAAATGAGTGAGAAGAGGGAGAAGATGGAGCCTGGCACTGTGTGTTTACCGTCACTGTGGAAGAGTGCACAGACTGAGTGTTACCGAGAGAGTTGTGGCAACGGAGGAACAGATGAGACTGTATAAACACACGTGACCCTGCTAGTGCTGTCAGATGTCCCACTTACAGGCTGGGCCATGTGTGTGTGCATGTACATGCTTGTTGGTGCACAGCCACATGAAAACACAAACACAGAAACATTCCACAGTGTCTAAAGGACAAACATAAGTCATATTCTACACATTTTTCTTGATTTCTTTGTTGCTCAATGTGAACGCCTGAGGCTAAAGTGACACGTGCCGACTCCATGGCGGAGGTCTTCACTAGCTCACACTGCAACATGCTGCACAGTGTCTTGTTTTGGTTAGGGCAAACCTTGCTTGTTGAAAAACGTATCGTCACAATGTAGGGCATTTTATTAATTGCAAAATTATTGAGTGAGCACAGAGCTGTAATCAATCCAGTTTAGAAAAGCACACTGGAACACATGTGGAAGCGTGAAAAAGGTCTTAAGCACAACATCCCGATCTGGTGTGCAACATGTGATCTCAGAATTTCCCCCAGCAGCTCTGGCAGGATCTGTTATTTTAGAAAGACATGTGTTGGCCTTTGATGTCTTCAATATGTTTCTACGTCTGGAGACCTATAAGGAAGATAATGGACTTCTCTGGCAGGAGACATTACAAAG